TCTTTAATAATATAAATTTTGATTTTGCCTTGTAAGATGATATTTTTAGTGTTTCCTTTTCGAATTATTTATTTGCTCATAAAATAATTATTTACTACTTGCAAAAATGCGCGCCAATAACTATAAGATTTTATTAAAAATACAATCAGTGTTTAATGTGTGAATAAAATTCAAAATTAAGCAGCATTTAAAGGGGTTTTAGGCAACCCTGAGCATTTGAAAATTGTCAATTTGTAAATATGCTTATCAAAAGTATTGAAATTGTATGTTAAACTTCACCAAATGGCGCGTTCATATTGAAAACACTAACACATACATATAGTATATACATATTTATGTACACGAACGATTTAAATATAACGACACTACGCCACAATAATACACTATTTACTTATAAATATTAAAAAAATACTACCATATAATACTTAGACACTTACAGTTATACATACATACAAACTCATAAATTATACGAAAATATTTAATTTTTATAATTATAATGTCAAATCATCAGGTCTCTATTATATAACAGATATTTTTAACATTTTTATATACAAATTGTAACTGTAAAATTAATCAGTTATGTCTAATCATGTAATCACATTACAATTTAAACAACTAAATTTAATAATTGTAGTGATGTTCCTATGTTGAAGTACATGCATACATATGTATGTATGTATGTGTGTAAAATATATATTTGTATGTAAAACGAACTGCAAATAATTGCAGGAAATATAAACTATTTTACTAAAAGCTAAAAATTTGGCCAGAAGCACGATTTTAGCTATAAATTAAATAATAAAAAGAATTTAATAAATAATAAAAAAAAAAAAAATAAAACTATTTTATTAAAACATTTTCGAAAACATGCTACATACTTACCGGCGCAGTGCATTATACAGAGATGTGGGAACTGAAATTGTTTGCATTTGCCTAAAAAGGAGAGAAAAATAAATATTAAAACTTCTAACGGCACGCAAAATTGAAAATATTTAAAAAAAAATTTAATTTAATTGAAATATTTTATGATTAAAAAAAATAGTTTTAAATATTAAAAAGAAATTAAAAATTTAATTGACTTTTGTTTTTAGTAAGCAAATATTTAATTGAAATATGCCAAATCTAATGAAAAACATTTTTGTCAACTATACGCATGATTCAGTTATATAAGGTTGTGCGATTTGAGAACGTGCTTCCTCTTACGAAAATATTTTTTAAACAATAATGTCAAATAATTTTTATTCTCATGAATGTCTTGTTTTCATTTTGATGATTTTGAGTTTAAAAAATTTTTTTTAATTTTTTATAAAAATTTTGTTTACAATTTTATTTTTAAATTTTTTGTACTTCCTTTTTTTTATATATATTTTTAAATTTTTCGTATTTAGCATTTCCACTATTGTTGATTTTTCAATCGAGACAACCTTGTACATGCAGACATAGTGATTGAATCAGGACTATACCCCAACAGCCATCCATCGCTTAAATTTTTCAGTTTCACCACCAGTTTTTACTGTAAATATTGTGGAAAACGAATATTTTTAAAACAAAAATACTATGCACATTTACAACACACGTGTGTATGTGTGCGTAATAGTCACTTAAGATAGCCATTATATGAATTAAGCCTTAGATCGCAGTGTCCTTATGCGCATTCATAGCCATCATGCCATTTACACCCACATAAACATATACATATACATATGCAAACATAACTGTGTATTTGTATATCAAATATAAGACAATTATTGTATTATTTCTTAAATTATTTGCAAAATTTCGACGCATTTCTTATAGTTGGATATTTTTTGAAAGACATACATACATACTATATAAATAAATTAAAAATTAAACCCAAAAAATTGGAAGAATAAATACAATTTGTTTGTAGAAATGAAACAGCAAAAATATACAAATATTTGAATTTTTGCACTTTCGGTCTTTTAGACACACTATTTAAAAGTAAATTAGCTGAGTTAAGTGTAAGTGTAAATGTTTTCAAGCAGAAATTGTTGTAATTAAAGAAAGAAGTTCGTAAATATTCCATTATCAATCAGATTTATTGTGTAATGGAAGAAATGATTAAATAAATATGATGTAATATATTAAAAACAAAAACGTATTTGATTTATTGAATGCAGTTGAGTTCGAAACGGCAACAGATTTGCCACAGAATATAATAGTTTTTTTGACAGACCTGTCATGTTAGTATTATCATTCTATCATAAAAATACTTAGTCTGAACAACGTTTACAAATCGTTCAACTTTATTACGAAAATTCAAGTTCTGCTTCGCTCAACTTATCGTCAACATAATCGGCCCACTGAGCGAACTTTTCGCAACGCTATCACCCATCTTGAGACCCAGCATTCACTATTGGATAATATTCGATCAAATACACCACGTCCAGTACGAAAAGAAGAAAATATAGCAGCCATAGCTGAGAGTGTAGACGAAGACCGTGAAGAATCGATTCGGAGTCGTTGGCAATAACTCGAACTGTTGTATGGAAAGACATGGCGCATTTTATATCGATATCTCAAATTCAAAACGCATTGTGCAGGAACAGAAACCCCTCGACCTCCCCAAGCAACATCGCTTCGCTCTCTAAGCTCTTAGAAAGTTCCAAGACATATCCGTCGTTTTCAAGACAAATTTTCTTCCGCGATTAGGCCCACTTCTGGCTAAATGGGTATGTAAACAAACAAATATGTCGCATTTGGAAAGAAGAGCAACCTGAAGAGATTCAAGAGCTGCCGTTTCATCGAGAAAAAAAGCAATTTGGTGTGATATGTGAGCTGATGCAGTCATCGGTCCTTATTTCTTTAAAAATGATGCCGATAAGAACCGTTATCGCACCATCTTAACCGACTATTTTCTGACTGAAATTGAAGATCGTGGTTTCGGCAACATTTTGTTTTAACAAGACGGCATCACTTTCCACACATTTATTAAGAGAACAGTTTGGTTGGGAGATAATTTTATGTTTTGAGTCGGTCGATTGGCCACAAAGATCCCCTGTGGGCATGGGTAAAGTATAAAGTCTATGAGGGCAATTCCGCTTCGATTCAGGCTTTGGAGCAAAATATCACACGTGTCATGCGCCAGTTACCAATCGATATGTATGTCCAACGTTGGAAAGAGATAATCTTCAAAAAAAAAAAATGCCAAAGAACGTTCTTTTGAATGCCCCCATATGCCAAATAAATTTGAAATTTCTGTGTTTTTTCTTTAAAAAAGTAGGGAACCTCGAACCTGCGTATGTTAACTTTCGACCGAAAATATCGGTAGGTATGTGAGATATGCCCTATTCCCCAATCGATGCCGATGGAACAGATGTTCTCTTGCACTACCATGAAGAAATTCGAATAACAATTACCCGTCTGAAGAACAACAAAGCGGCAGCGGCCGCTGGTCTGCCAGCCGAGCTGTTCAAATACCGGGGGCGAAGAACTGATAAGGAGCAGCATCTTTGTAGAATATGATACGACGAAAGCATACCTGGATGTGGATTTTGGCCTGGAAAGTCAACAACCATGCGCCAAATCTTGGAAAATACCCTTGAAAAGCGGATTGACCCAATCTCTTTGTCGCTTTCAAAGCTACTTTTGATAGCACAAAAAGGAGTTGCCTTTATGCCGCTATGTCGGAATTTGATATCCCTGCAAAACTAATCTACTATAAATTTGTAAACTGACGTTGAGGAATACCAAAAGTTCCATCACGATCTAGAAGGATCTCGCCGAGACAGACAAGGCTGGAGAAAATAATTCAGGTTGCAGATCTGAACAAAGAAACTACAATCTTCTACAAAAGTGTACAACTGCTGACGTCCGGCTAAGGCATCGATGTCATTGGCCATAACAACTGCGTCGTTAGTTCTGCTTTCTCCAGGTTGGTCAAGGAAGCAAAGCAAATTGGTCTGGTAGTGAACGAGGGCAAGACGAGATATCTCCTGTCATCAAACAAACAGCCGTCACACTCACAACTAGACTCCCACGTCACTCTTGCCAAGTCTTAGATCCAACGTAGAAAAATTTTTTCCAACATGTGCTACATCAAACTGAGTGGGTAATTCCGTTCATACAGAGAACTGGACTTTATTCCTCCTGAGTGAAGGGTTTGAGTTTCACAACCCTTAAAATTAAAAAGTTGTGAAATACATCCCTGATAGTTACATGCAATTGATACCTTGTTCAAGGTATAACTTGTAGTCCAGGATCCGTTGCCACCAGTTACAAATTCGTTCCTGCTTGTTTAATCGATACGACAGCAAAGTAGTTTTCGAAATAAATATTATGAGAGCATAAGTAGTTTTCATTTTCCAAAAAAATAAATATACTTTCCAGATTAATTTCATTCAAATAACTTCATAACAACACATAAATAACATGGACGGCAAGGAAACAAAGCGGAAGCTCATCGATAAGTATGAGATCCCAATAAATCATCTGGATTTCGCTTATATTGCCGAGTGTGAGAATGCACGTGAAATGGAGAAAATCGTACAAATTTTGCGTTCCGGCGAGGAAGGTTATTTTCCCGATCTCACAAACTGTGCGGAAAATAAATTACGCGAACTCAAGCCGAACAGTCGACTCTTTCGTTACGAGGAAAAATTGCAGGGACGTGAAACGCTCTCCAAGCAAGAGTGGAAACCGATATTCGATTGGACACATAATATAAAAGTGAAGGATGTCGAATTGTCAGCCGCTGCCGAGAAGATGGCTAAACTAGATCTGGGCGTGCCACCGGTACGTAAAAGCGGTGTCATTAAACAGTGCGATGAAAATAACGAGCACAAATCGAAACAAAATGGTGGTTTGGCCGCGACGACATCGAAAATTTCGACCGAGCGTATCAAATCCACCGATTACGGCAAATGGGATAAATATGATGCAGATGAAGAGTGCTTGCGTATGGAATTGGCTGAGGAGCGTGTGCAGGAAGAGGTGGAACGCAAAAATCGCCTTAACAAACAAAAATCGAAATTACAAGTCGAACATGACAACAACAAAGTTACTGCAGCTGAGACCGTTAAAGAGCAGGATGTTCTGAGCAAATTCACCGATGTGGAATGCGAGCGTCTCGCCGAAGAGTCAGTAGGACAAATTAAGGTCTGAAAAAGTTTTTTTAATTTTTTTTACTTTTGACATTCCCAGATATCGTCTGCGTGGTAACGATTATTTTCGTGCTAAGGAGTATGAAAACGCGATTAAGGAATATGGACGGGCGATAAGTGTTTGTGCAGAGAAGGCAGCGCCAGCATATAACAATCGTGCCGCGGCGAGTAAGTAGAAGTCTCGTTCATAAAGGAGTGAAATATTTTAGAAAGTTCCAATACTGATCGATTCGAAACATACAAAAATAATTATATCTTATTCTTTATAGGCGTAGATCCCGCTTAAGCGGTTATAGCCGAGTTTACAACAGCGTGCCACACGTTCTCCCTTTTCATTGCTTGTCACCAATTAGAAATGCAAAGCAAAGACAGGTCCTTCTCTACCTGGTCTTCCCAACAGAGTGGAGTTTCTCCACTTCCTCTACTTCCCACAGGGGGTATCGCGTTGAATACCTTTACAGTTGGGGTGTTTTCGTCCATTCAGACGACATGGCATAGCCAGCATAGTCACTGTCTTTGTATTCGCTAAACTATGTCCATATATATATCATACAGCTCATCGTTTCATCGAAGGCGATATTCGCAGTGGCCAATGCGCCAAGGCAATCTTCCGCCGAACCTTTTCAGATTATGCCATCACCATGCCTCTGCACCATATAGCAGGACGGGAATAATGAGTGACGTCATCCGAAAGGGGATCTCTCGTCCGAGGCTGTTGTTTTCTTTTCATTGGTGGCATTTATTAAGTGGCGGGTTCCAAACACAGTCTACAACCATGGGAAGGGATGGTTCATCTTCTCACTTTAGCTCGCCTTCAAACGGATGTTCTTTGACTACACAGAGGATACTTGGTCTAAGACCGGAAGTCGTGAGCTGCTTGAGGCTTGAGAATCGCTTCTGGTCATTCCCATGTGAATGGCGCTCAGAGCTTTCCTCACTTGCGTATACTCTATCCTCCTATTAGAATTATATACTTCATATAAATTCAAGTACCGATATCTTGGTGACACTTCTTAGCTGCCAATAAATCCGAGGTCGCTGAATGGACCTTCTTGAGATCGGTTAAAACACGTTTATTGGTCATACAACCGACCCCTTTCAGAAAGTTTAAATAATTTTACGAGGAGAAGGTTTTCGTTCAAAGTCACCTATCATCCATTTTTCAATTTAAACTCGCTACTTTCTTTAGTACTTATTAATATTCTTTTAGATATAAAGCTTAAATGGTATACCGAAGCTATCAAAGACTGCGAGCAATGCCTGCAATTAGAGCCGAACAACTTGAAAGCCCGCTTACGCCTAGCAGATGCTACATATGCTAACGGGGAAAGACAAGAAGTAACATTTCGGTCGAAATAATTTGAAGAAACTAATATACTCTCTCCTTCCCAACAGTCTTACGCGTTATATATGCAAGTTTTGGAGTTGGAACCGGATAATGTCAACGCCTTAAAGGCTACAGCACAACTTAAGAGTCTATATGGTGACTTTCCACCAGCCAACGCAACACGTTTACATATTGAAGAGAAGAGTGCAAAAACTGAAAAGAAGAGAGAAAAGAAAATTGCTAAGAAAGAAACTAAAACCAAAACGTTTGGGAAACAAACTCTTGAAAACACTAAAACTGTCGAGACTATCCCACCCAAAACGAAACCAGCCGACTACGATTTAGCTGATTTGATTAAACCCAATCGCTTGGTCAAAAAGAAACTGGCCACCGCAGCAGCTGCTTTGAGCAACATGAAGACACCGAAACAAGCAAGGCAACAACCCACGAAAACAACAGAAACTACTGTTCCGACAACATACCCAAACGAACTACGTTTACCAAGTGATACCCCTAAAGCGGGCGGAAAAATTTTGATCCAAGAGATTTAAAAGCGCAAAAAATTAGGTTTTAAAAAAAAATTAAAATTATTTTTGAAATTGACTATTAGAGTTAACATTTGTTTAACATAACATCGTTTTAAATAAAAAAAAATATTTTTATTGACAACATTTACGCAGTGTTTATTATGTAGCGTCTTATGAAGCGCGAAACAAGCTTAAAGGGACGCTCTTCGAAGTCCTTTAATTGCGTCTTGGTACTCTTCACCTGCAATTCGTAATTATTTATGAACAGTTATTTGCATAAATGCAGGTGATTTCATTAAAACACACACCTGATCGCCCTCCAGCCGATTCAAAAGCGTTACGCACACGTCCGCCGCGCGTATGCCACAGTGCAAGGTTAGCGCCGCAAACATTGACGCCTCCATTTCGATGTTTCTTATGCCACATTCATCGTGACAGCGTTTCAGGAACTTTAGCTTGTCGTCTACGGTGTATGGCTCACCATTTGCCTGCGTGCAAGAAGCGCCGTCGAGTCGACCTTGGCCTGCAGTTGGCAAAATATCAATTTAATCACAATAATTTTTTTCCAGATCAATATTAAAAGTATGTACCTTCGTAGAAGCAATCTGTTCCCATGGTATTGCCTTCGATGATATCCCAGTCATTTTGCTCCTCGGCATCTGCTGCTTCCTTGCAGGCAATCAAGTCTTTACGTAATCTCTCGTCGAATTGAGCAGGTCGTGCCACGCGTTCTCCTAAAATAGCCTGAAATTATCAGTTAAATGCTATAATGTATAAATCATTTGAGGGTTTCACTTTACATTCGATAAATCAACCATCACTGAAGATGACGAAGTAAAACTCAGCACAAATAGAAGTTTTCTAAACTAAAAATTATGGAAATCGCAACACACCGCTTTAAGTCCCCCGATATGGAACATGAGGAACTCAATTTTTATGGTCGATTTTATAGGGAAAATTTGGTGAAGTGAACATATTTTAATGAGAATTGTCTGAGGTTCAAAATACAATAAGTCGGTTCACTAGTTTCCCTAATTTCTATATACCAAATATGATGAATTTCCTGAGTCTGAGTCAATTTAGCCATGTCCATCTTTCTGTCCCCCAGTTTTCGAGATATCGATCCAGAAATTTTCAAACGACTTTTCTCTCCAAGAAGCTGCTCAGAACCGCCGATATCAGACCACTACAGCATATAGCTCCCTTTCAAACTAACCGATCAAACTCACGTACTTATATGGAAAACTTTTTTTTCGACAAAATCAAATTCTTGTATACAATCTTTTTCATTGTGAAGGATCTTAGAGTTTCGGTGCAACCGAAGTTAAGGTATGTTTTTTTATGAATTTTGTTTCTAATTTTATTTCTATTTCTAAATAAAATAGTTTTTTTTTTACATAATGCTTACAATTTCATATTCACTGCGCAATAAACCATTATAGCCCTTATTGGCGACCACTACTGTACCCGGTTTAATTCCAAGTCCACCACTAGTGCCAATGCGTATGAAAAGCGGATCCACACATTCGGCATAACGGACCAATTTAATTAATTCATGCAATACCACACTCATCGTAGAACTGCCAACACCATGGCTTACACATAATACGCAGCCAACCTTCAAGAAATGGAATAAAATTTAGATACATTTCATGTAATCTTCAATAAATAAAATTTACCATAAAGCCAGCATATCTGTGGCCTTCCTCAAATAAATTCCTTTCATAATCACTACCCGAATTACCGTCGTACACTTTAAAATGTATATATTTTGCCAATTCGAGCATACGCGAGTCCTTGCCACCCAAACACACCACCTGATGAATTAATTATATTCGCAAGTTAGCAAAAGGAATTTAAAAAGTCGGTCCACACTCAAAAGCCATCTACGAACCTTAATATGCCCGTATTGCTTTTTAATATCAACTGTGTTCTTAGTATCCGGTACATTTACCGCTAGGTGGTATAGAAAGTCGGAAGACATTTCATCTAAGTTAGGATTTTTCGATGAGACAGAGCTACAAAAATAGAAAATTATTTTAAAATTAGGAATATTGAGTAAAAGATGCAATCAGGGATTCCAACTGAAATGGATTCTAAGTAGGGTATTGAGTAAGTACTGAAATATTATTTTCGAATACGAATTTTCTTAACAAGAATGAGTGAATCGAACAAGCCTCTGGCAGAAATCAAAAACTTTCTTGTTGCTTTCCCAAGTTTATTTACCAAGAGAACAGGGCTTAAACTGTGTGTGAGCGAAGAAGTGGCCATAAGGTAATATTGAAACGGAATATTTTAGAGCTGGAAAGAGTCTGCCAAGAATTCATTAAAACATAAAGGGTGAAAAAATTCTCTTAGAAGGCTAGGTCAAGTTTTCGCCCATATATGGGATTTAAGTATTGAACCCATTTTATTAACCCATTTTTGACACACATATGTACATACGACTGTCAGGAAAGGATTATCCATGAATTTCAATTATATATCTCACACATTGGCCGATGTTTTCGGCAAAAGGTCAAAATAGGTACATAAGCTCCACAGATTCGGTTCCTAGGGGCGTAAATAGGTTTGGTTAGATTTGAACACTTTTTGGCCATATGATGGCTTAATCTCACTGAAAAGTGAAATAATCAAAGGGAATTTAATATTGTGTTATATGCGAAGTAGGCGTGGTTGTAGTTCGAATTCGCCCATTTCGCACCCACAAAGACAGACAGATGGCCGGACAGGCATCCGCTCGGAATTTAACTCCTTTCGTCATTCTGAACATTTATATATTGTATATATAACCCTATATCTATCTCGATTATTTTTATTAAGTGATAAAAACAACTGTTAGGTGAACAAAAGTAGTATACCCTGTGGCAACATCATTTCATCATCAAGGGTATAAAAGCGGTTTTATTTTGGTGGGAGAAAAAATTTAACATTCAGATTTAATTTGGAGATCATCTTCCTTACAATTTGATAGAAAAATTAATAACCAATCTGCTTAATAAGTATGTAAACCTTATTTGCTTACTTCGCTTACCGGTTTTGTGACATTTCGCTCAGTTTTTTATTGCTTCCGGTTTGTCTGAAAGTTATATAAAATTAAATTCGAATTATTGTTACAGTTTTTCACTCTCAAAACTGTCCAGTTTTCAGCGGGTTAAAACTAAAATTAGTATATATTGAATATTTTTATGACATTGATCTAAAAGTTTTGACCGTGTTAAAGGGTTATAACCACTTTCGAATTTCAAAAAATCGATTATTTTGCCAATATATCTACTACTGAATATATTATTCAAACATTTGAAGTTGATCAGACAGTTTCGGAGATATGAGCGTATTTTAAGGATTTTTGAACATAATATAACTGGCTCTCAAAACTTTAAAGTATCGTCTCAGTGTGACCCTCCGAAAAATCACTGATTTTTGCGATTTTTTTTTTTTTTTTTTTTTTTTTTTTTTTTATTTTTTTTTTTTTTTTTTTTTTTTTTTTTTTTTTTTTTTTTTTTTGATGTTGAAATTAACTAATCCATAGCTCATTCGAAATTTTCACACAGAGAGATCCCTTAAATGCGTTTTCTCGAAACGTTGCTTTCAGAGCTGGTGGGAAAGATTTCATCGAGACGGCTCGACCGATCAATTTAAAAATTTCAAATGACTTTCTAAAATTATTTCTCGAAGATCTTTTTGAAAAGTGATCATTTTTGGGCAGACATCATTTGGTCATAAATCAAAATTTTGACTCGCACTTCGATCACCACCTGTATTCATCTATAAATATAATATATATTTTTGATTATTTGTGTTGAGTTAATTTTAATGTGAAAAATCTTCCTCATCGATAGACCCATTTTTTCAGAGGCACTGCTGAAGATCGGCTACAAGATCAAAGGAATCCACATTTTTTAAAATTAACTACAGATTACTAAAGTACATTAAATTCTGTTTATGCACATTATGCTTATTAAATAATGTAGATGTACTCGAAAAACAAAAAATAAATAAAAATAAAATTTTTTTTTTGGATAAAACCCCTCAAAAAACGCAAATAAAAATAAATAAATAAAATGTTTTTCTGTCTTGGAACTGGATAACGACTTTTAAAGCACTAACTGGCGATAACTTTGCAGAAAAAATAAGGTGACATTTGAATTTAAACTGCGCGCGTCGAAGGATTTGGAGAATTATTTTGTTTTTTATGTTGGTAGTACTGTCAGTCACATTTATGTCAAATTTCATGTCAAAATATTCTTTAGTGTTTGAGATACATGTCGTTTTGTGAGCTGCTAAAAGTGAGTTTTTCGTTTTTTGCGATGTCGAAATTTGTTGAACATTGATTTGCATTAAATGATCATTTCGCCAAAAAGTCGACCCACATCGTTCCGCAACCACCGTATTCACCTGATCTGGCGCCGTGCGACTTCTGGCCGCTCCGGGGACACCGTTTTTATACGATATTCAAGCCGCAGCGAAGACGGAACTGAATGACATCCCGGAAATTGACACTACAACCAGTGTTTCGAAGATTGGAAAATCCGTTGGCATAATGTACTACATCTAGTGGGGTTTACTTTGAAGGGGATGAAATTTATTTGGAAGAATAAATAAAGAATTTTCAGTATAAATACAATGTAAACTTTTTTTGGGCACAGTATCAGCAACCTTAGTTTTATCTCTGAAATATTTCAAGATGTGTGCTATTTTATGACGTTTCCGTCACTATTTTGGAACCTTATACTATAAGTGATATAAGAGGTTCTAAGCTGGCCTTTGATGTTTTATCAAAAACAAACTTCACTACACAATCGCCAATCAATTGGAAGCGCTTTTATTGGCAAGTGAGAGATTACGCCGCACAACCTTTCAAACGTTTATAACGCCGAAAAATCTGCAATAACACTTTGGCTAACAAGTGCTCGAGATAGTTGAACTTTATTGAACGTTTACCACTTATCGTTACTTTTTTATTATATAGGGATTAACACAAATTCTATATACCCCCGAAAGACGCTGAACACGGTATAACGGCTTTATAACCATAACATAATCAGATATATTGTCATATCGAAGAAAAGTTTTAAAAAAATTCAAATGGATAGAAATGTCTTTCATATTTACTTTGAAGATATCTACTCGAGCTTGGAACTCGCTGAAAATATTCAAAATTATTATGAAAAAGCAAAGTAGGATAATAACCGCGCCCACCTGCTGTGCTGAAGTAAAACTAGTTAAACAAAATAATATTAAAATCAAATAATCTCCACTTAAAGTTCGAATTAGTCCGACATAATAATTGTAAGGGGCTTTTCAATAGCGACGCTACAAAAGTAGACCGATAGCGACAGCAAATGACGACATATTTTCCCGCACTCTTTTGACATATCTCTTCAGTAATGTTTGCGATTTCATCATGAAAAGATGTACGATCTAACAACGAGTCGAAATGATTAAAATTTACTGATCGTGTAAAAAAGAAGAGGCGTAGTGTCGAAAATATTGCTGCCGCTAGAGCATCATTTGAATAAGACCCAAATCAGTATCTCACATGTCGTTCTCAAGCGTTGGGCATCTCTGTGATGTCGTTGTGGTAAATTTTGTGAAAAGGTCTTGGTCTGTAACCTTCCAAGATCAAATTGACACAAGAACTGAAGCCGCTTGACCACCAGAATATTCGTATATTCGTAAATTGGGCTGAGCAACAACTTGAAAAGGATCCGGATTTTCATCGAAAAATCGTCTTCAGCGATCAGGCTCATTTCTTTTACCTCAATAAGCAAAATATGCGTTATTGGATCAGGCAGTAATCGACACGTACTCCATGAGTCACCACTGCATCCCGAAAAAATTACGGTTTGGATGGTTAATAGGCCGTTGGCATCATTGGGTCGAAATTCCGTGATGATCAAGACCAGCACGTTACTGTGAATTTCAATCGCTACCGCTTAATGATAACCGAACAGTTTTGGCCCAAATTGGATGATATGGACTTGAACAGCGCCACAAGTCACACAGCGATTGTCCCAGTCGATTTATTGAAAACCAAGTTTGGTGAATCGGCCGCCTCGGTTGTGCGATTTGACGCCGTCAGACTATTTTCGCTGAGGCTACGTCAAGTCTATGGTCTATGTTAACAAGACAGCGCCGTTGGATGAACTTCGTTCGAATATCGATTGTGAAATTGCAGCATTATCGGCCGATTTATGATTGAAAATCGTCTAAAATTGGGTTCAGCGTCTGGACTTTTGCAATCATTCCTATGGTGACAACTCGAGTTCCATGCATAATGGCATCGAAAGTACTTTCACAGGAATAAAAAATTTCATTGATATTCCAAACCGTTTTTCATTAATTTTTTTGTAGATCTCTTTTTGAAAACCCCGTTATTGCTATGGTACAAGTTTCACAAACACTTTGAGCAAACATATTGAAAATGTTTATGTTTATGTGTCTTAAATTTGCAGTTACATATATACATATAATATTCGGTGCCGCCCGAAGTTAGCGCTTCCTTCGTCGCTTGCCCTTAATATTGACCAACGCCGGAGGCAACACTTTATTAGCGTCAATTAGCGTTGAACTTGATTCAGGCCGACACAACGTAAATTTAATTAAGTAAAATAACTGTGAATTGAATGTATGTCAATTATGTATATAATTATTGTCAATACTTATATTGAAATGATAACTTTCTTATTCACAATTAATTCAGCTTATCATTATACCGTATGTCTGTATATATTACACACACTTGCCAAAAACGAAATAATTGTTATACTCAAGATAACGTCCAAGCACTTTGAATTTCAATTTAATACTGACCAAACGAATTCAAGTTTGAAATGCTCTGTTTGAAAACATGCATGCCTATGTACATATGTACATACATACATACAAATATTTTATTAAACTCAACTCTCTTTATACAGCGTTTTCTTTTTATTTGTTGGGGCAACCGTATTGTGAATGTGCGTGTGTGATAACGAGAAAAGTTTTCAATTTGTAACGTAAAACTAATATTTTTGTTATACTAATATAAATTTGTTATTCAATAAATTAAATAAATTTATAATGATTGCTGATCTCGAAACTAAGTTGACTTTTCGATATACATATACGGTATAAAATCAAGCGGAAGTTGTAAACTTCTACATTGCAGCTGGGAAAAATGTCGGCCGATTTTATTTACTTATACATTCTGCTAATATAAAATAAAATAAATGTATATTTCTACCCAATATTATTAAGATAAATCATATATTGAACGATTTACATACATAAATATTCGGTATGAATTCAAATAAAGCAAGAAAAGACGTTAAATTCGGTTGCATAGATGCTATAATACCCTTCACCCATGATATTTTATACCATAGGAAGTTTATATAGCAGCTACATACATATATGCTATAGTAGTAAGGTCTGAGCAATTTCCTCGGTGATTGTACTGTTTCTTTTAATTAGAATATTCACCAAACAATAATTGATACTTGAACGGTATATCCAGTGTTGCTTAATTCATCTCTTGCAAAGTTAAGAAATTTATTAAAATTTAAAACAAATGTGTTTCTATATAGATGTACCTTATTAAAAAAAAAAAAAAAAAAAAAACAAGAAGGCGATGCCAATTGAATATTATCTACCTAATTTCATTCAAATTAGTTCGTCATACATGGATTGAATATACATTGTTGTAAGTATACTTATGTGTTCAAATGCAGATTATGTACAGAGATACATATGTGATCTGCATATCAATTTAATTATAGTATTCTTAATTTTAATTTCAAAAATATAAATGTTATTTTTATTTTTATTCTATTTTATAATCCAATCGTCATCCTCTTTTCAAGTGGTTAAGATTCAAACACAATTTCACCTTTTTAAAACATAAACTCGAACATCTTGCCATTTTAAATGTGAAATGTGAGATTAGGTGGTATCTGGTTATAACGATGTATACCTACTATATAATGGCTAAGTTCAAAACTACAAAATATTTGATAACTATTAGATATACACGTACATATGTGTATAATATATAATCACTGCAAAGTTAAATTGAACCAAAATATTGCGAGAGCAAGCTTATTTAATGAAATCGGTTTGTAGTCGAATTCCCTATAATTTCTAGTGACAATGCACACATCTGGACATGCAATATATAATTCAACAATAATTTATAATATAATAATTATACTCAGCTAACAAAAACATACTACTACTGTCATATTACATGCTATTCTGTAATACTTTGACTAAGCACAAAAAAGAGGGGATTTCCCTTTTAATGCAAAAACAAAATACAAATCACGTAAACCGAGGTATAGATATACTTCAATAAATCTTCTTTGAAATAAAATTACATATTTACAAAACTAAACAAACTGCAACTAAATCAATCTTACCTGTGAAATTCCGATATAACAAGTTAAGAAATAAATATATTTTCAATTCATGTTTAATTTATTAAACTACTTAATATAATAAAATATTTGTATATTATATATGCACAACTTACATTAACTTATGTTACAAACACCATATAAAACAGAGACCACTAAAGAACGAATTAACTGTCCTTATTTGATTGCAACAGCATTTCGCGTACCGAACGGAATACCAGACGCTCCCATGCTTCACTATAGGCCACAGCATTTTCTGAACTGCCCCAAATAATCTGTCGCACTTCCTCTGGCGTGTGACTTAAAGGTTCAAAGCAAAAAGGGTGCCAACACCTTTGAACTTCTGTCTCTTGTACAAAAACTCCTTGTATGCGTTCGGGAAGTGCGTTCAAATTAATGTACGTATTGGTTGCTAACTTTAATGTATGTATTCTAGGTAAAAAAAATATAAGTAATTATTAAATCATTTGACACCGATATTTAAAATGAGCGCAAATTATCTTACTCATCCAATTGCTGTATTAATTGTTGGCGGTTTTGTATTGCCTCAGCTACGCAGCGTTGAGCTTCGTTTTGCATTTCTGATATTCGCTTCTTCCAGTCGTCTATAATTTTTTGTATCTCATTGCATTTTTCAGTTTCCTTTTTTACTTTATTTTTTATTCTATCATATCGTGCATTTTGTTCATGAAGTCGCGTTTCTAAGTCATCTAAAATTATTTTAGTCTATTAGTAAAAACGCATGTTACACAGCAGGAATCCGTACTTACATAGATTTTCGTGATATTTATGGCTCAATTTGCTTATAGCAACTTCTCGTTTTTCCAATCCAATTTCACGATTTATCATTGCTTTGATGCGTTTTCCATAATCATATTTTAACATTTTGAAGTTTATGAACGGGCAACAAAGTTTATAAACAATTTATCACTTCAAAGGTCGTCGTTATAAAGAACCATTCAAATATGTCAGAGAGACGCGATTTTACTTAGCAAAACAAATATGGCACTGACAGCTTATAAACAAATGCCGAGCGGTATTGCCATGCTCTACCAAACTACAATTTTTGCGTTGCCACTATGTAGGAATCTAGCTTGTGCTTCGGTAATATGGTTAACTACTAAATTTAGCAACATCCGTGCTTAAATTCATTTGTTATGATCGTTATTGCGTTTTTACAATTTATTAAATTTAGATCCGGAAATTCACTTCTTATGCTAATTATTGCTGTTATACGATCAATTAATTTGGTATATAACTTTTTATGATAAGTAACTGAAACTCTTTCGCTTAATATATTAAGAATTTAGTACTAATTCTAATTGTAATAATAATATCACATGTAATATGGCAACATCGCAGAATTCTTACATCTGATTTTTACATGTTTTGCCAGGAAAGTTGATTTTGGTTTTCTGTGAAAATAATAGTTCTTCATTTAATATTTTAGTTTTGTTTTATAAAATAATTAGTGAATTAGTTTCTTTCCATTCATATATGCCTATCGCTGCATAAATATACGAGAAATCGTGCAACTTCTGCAATATGAGTTCGGATAGCGATGATGATGGTTCGACCGGTCGTGGCGGTGGGGGCTCCGCTGATAGCAACGCCGGTGGTGGTTTTGGAATGGACTTGACAGGCATATTATTTGGTAATATAGACTCGGAAGGAAAATTAATGGATGATGATGCCGGCAACGCATTCGATCCAGAATTTCGTGAGCACATATCTTCTTTGTCCAAGTACGTATACCCAGCAGCAGACGTAGCAATACTTATTTTATTTTCTTATGGTAATAAATATATACAGATTGGGCCTAAACTCAATGTTAAACGAAGTAATAGATACCGAAAAAGATGAAATGGATGACGTTGATGATCCTAAACATCCAATGAGTGATTTTGATGCCTTAAAAGCGGGTTTTACGAATAACGATGGGAATGAAGCTGATAATGAAGACGATGGTGAAATTGTCAAAGATGACAGTGCAATAGATTACTCAGATATAACAGAACTATCAGAAGATTGCCCGCGCACTCCTCCTTCGAATGAACAAAGCATACTTGAAGATCTTGAGGACGCAATACCGGCCTCAAAAGTTGAAGCTTCAAGTAAATTAAATTAAAACTTGCAAATATAACTTAAAAACAATTTCAATATCATATTAGGTATAACCAAAGACGATAAGGAACTAATGCCTCCACCGCTTGCACCTATACGCAACATGTCAACCGGCAATAATATTGACAGTGTACCTAAAACGAATGGACCAGACAGTGCAAATGGCGACACAAAATTAGAAAAACGTATGCTTACACGAAAAATTAAGAACCTCGCCAAAAAATTATTTTTATTTATTTATTCAATAATTTCATTTTCACAATGCAGCAACAGAACGCAAGTTGGATACACCCTTAGCGGATATGCTGCCGTCGAAATACGCCAATGTAGATGTGAGAGAATTATTTCCAGACTTCCGCCCCGATAAAGTTTTGCGTTTTTCACGACTTTTTGGACCGGGAAAACCTTCAAGCTTGCCACAGATTTGGCGTAGTGTGAAGAAAAGAAGGCGACGGCGTAAGCACTCACGTGATGTGAAGGTGGGTACTTTGCACTAAAAAAAATCAAAGTCTTTATTTATTTATGCTTTTAGAATCCGAATACTGGTTCCGATTCCACGAGCGATTCAGAAGAGCCGAAGAAAAAAGGATTCGGATTGCACTACGGTCCCGACCCAATGCCAAATCAATGCGTTTCCGATGACGAAGATAAATTATTGAGCATTACAAATAATGAAGATGTCAAACCCGAGGGCCCCGAGAGCGGCGATAATAGTGATAGTAAACCCAAAATTGCTGACTGGCGTTACGGACCGGCGCAAATTTGGTATGATATGCTAGAAGTGCCGGATTCTGGGGAAGGTTTCAATTACGGCTTTAAAACAAAACCATCTGGTACGCCACAAAAAGGTGTCGTAACAGACTCACAAGCTTTAGCGCTAATTGAAGAAGATGTAGAGATCAAAGGTGAACCCATTGCCGACGATGCATTTTTAATGGTTTCGCAACTGCATTGGGAAGATGAGGTTGTGTGGGATGGCAACGATATCAAAGCGAAAGTATTGCAGAAATTGAATTCAAAAACAATCGCCGCAGGCTGGCTACCATCAAGTGGCTCTCGCACAGCCGGCGCTTTCAGCCAGCCGGGCAAAACAATGCCCGTAACGGGAAACACCGGTAGTGGCAAAGCTCAAGGTGGCTCTTCTTCGAGCAAAAAGGCTAATCAGATGTGAGTATGAAGAAAAGTTAAATTTTCGCGAAATATTTTTTTAATGAAAATTTGAAATGGAAAATATTTCAGCCTACAAAGTAAAGCGCCCGAAGCAGTGGACGACACCTGGTACAGCATCTTTCCGGTGGAGAATGAGGAATTGATTTACGGCAAATGGGAGGATGAGATCATCTGGGATGCCGAACAGATGACAAAATTACCAAAACCGAAAGTGCTCACGCTTGATCCGAATGATGAGAATATTATACTCGGTATACCGGATGACATTGATCCATCGAAAATTAGCAAAAATACTGGACCACCACCGAAAATCAAAATACCACATCCACATGTTAAGAAATCGAAGATTTTGTTAGGCAAAGCAGGTGTTATCAATGTGCTGGCCGAGGACACGCCACCGCCACCGCCCAAGAGTCCAGATCGTGACCCCTTCAATATTTCAAACGATTCGTAAGTTGTGGCTAAATGATCTATTTTTAAGATATACACTGTAATTTCCATGTGAACTCCCAACAGCTACTATCAGCCTAAGACTGAGCCAACATTGCGACTTAAAGTGGGCGGCGGCAATTTAATACAGCATTCCACGCCAGTAGTTGAGCTACGCTCGCCTTTTATACCGGTATGTATAATTTTAAGCATTAACCAGTTTTTTGCAGGCAATTTCTTTTTTTTTTAGACATATATGGGTCCTATGAAACTGCGTTCATTCCATCGTCCACCACTGAAACGTTTCTCGCATGGTCCGTTAGCATCACCTGGTCCACATGCTGTACTGCCACTGCTTAAGTATATCGCCAAAAAGGCCAAACAACGCGAGGTGGAGCGCATTGCGTCCGGTGGTGGTGACGTGTTCTTCATGCGTAATCCTGAAGATTTAAGCGGCAAAGATGGTGATATTATATTATGTGAATTTTGTGAGGAACATCCACCTTTAATGAATCAAGTGCGTGTTACTTTCGTTTTTTGATTAGCTTTGGCACTCATACTTTTTTTATTTTTAATTTTTTGATAAGGTCGGCATGTGCTCCAAGATCAAAAACTATTACAAACGCAAGGCGGCAAAGGATAATGGTCCGCAAGACTTTAAATATGGCGAAGTGGCCTTTGCGCATACCAGTCCCTTCCTAGGCATAATACATCCCGGCCAGTGTATACAAGCGCTGGAGAACAATATGTATCGTGCACCGATCTATCCACACAATATCAATCCGACGGAATTTCTTGTTATCCGTAATCGCAGCAACTATTGGATACGCGCTATAAATGCGCTATTTACAGTGGGTCAAGAGTGCCCGATTTACGAAGTGCCGGGTCCGAATTCAAAACGCGCTAATAATTTCACAAGAGACTTCTTGCAGGTATGAAGACGCACTAATTTTAGCGGAAAAATTTGTATTTTAGTTATTCCTCGATTTCAGGTGTTCATTTATCGCCTATTCTGGAAGAGCCGCGACAATCCCCGGCGCATACGTATGGACGATATAAAGCGTGCATTTCCGGCGCACTCGGAGAGCAGCATACGTAAGCGCTTGAAACAGTGTGCCGACTTCAAACGTACTGGCATGGACTCTAACTGGTGGGTTATCAAACCGGAATTCCGTTTGCCGTCCGAGGAAGAAATACGTGCAATGGTCTCGCCAGAGCAATGCTGCGCATTCTTTAGCATGATAGCGGCCGAGCAACGCTTGAAGGATGCTGGTTATGGTGAGAAGTTCTTATTCGCGCCACAAGAGGATGACGATGAGGAGGCGCAACTGAAGTTGGACGATGAAGTGAAAGTGGCACCGTGGAATACCACGCGGTAAGCAGGCATAAAAAATATAAAATTCCTTCCATGATAGTGGGGACTACGTAACCGGAACGGAAACGGAATTTTATTCAGCCCAGGATTGTCAACTGCAAATTACTGCAAGGATCTTACTTCTACTTATCGAGCTAAGCAGGTTTATATCGCTGAAATTACAGTTATTGTGCTGGCTCAATTCCGTTAACGTAGAACCGGCTGTTGTTGAAGTTCATTACTTCAGGGTTGATTTCGGATATAACAACAACATACATACTTTTTTTTGTTTTTACTACTTACAGCGCTTACATACAAGCGATGCGTGGCAAGTGTCTGCTCCAGCTGACTGGACCGGCCGATCCCACCGGCTGTGGTGAAGGCTTTTCTTATGTGCGCGTGCCTAATAAGCCCACGGTGCGTAGCTGAAACTCTAAACACTCCAAATATATTTTATATTAACCACCTTCCATTTTTACCAGCAGCAAACCAAAGAGGAGCAGGAGTCACAGCCGAAGCGTACGGTCACCGGCACCGACGCCGATTTGCGTCGTCTACCGCTGCAGCGTGCTAAAGAGTTGCTGCGTAAATTCAAAGTGCCTGAAGAGGAGATACGAAAATTGTCACGTTGGGAGGTAATCGATGTGGTGCGCACACTTTCAACCGAGAAAGCCAAAGCCGGCGAACAGGGTATGGACAAATTTTCGCGTGGTAATCGCTTTTCGATCGCCGAGCATCAGGAACGTTACAAAGAGGAATGCCAGCGTATTTTCGATCTACAAAATCGTGTGCTGGCTAGTTCGGAGGTACTTTCCACGGATGAAGATGAGTCTTCAGCCTCAGAAGAGTCGGATCTTGAAGAGCTGGGTAAAAATTTGGAAAATATG